TGCCTGTGCCTACTTTGTCTCTCCCTACTTGTCCTGTCGGGTCCGTCTGTCTTTCCGTCCCCCTCCGAGGACCCTCTGGCACTGACAGACGGATCCAGCAGACAGATGCATCGGGGACCGGCTGGGCCGCGTGAAATCATTTCCCTCGAAGCCGCTCGGTGAGCCCGTTCGCTCGACAATCCTCGTCCCGTTCCTTCCATCTGTGCTTAATTCCTCTTCCCTTTTTTCATCCTTTCTTTTTCTATTCAAACAGCAGGCGCCGCCCTGCTTTGTGTCTGTGAAACTTAAGTTGTTATCTTTTCACCTCTATCTCACTTCCTCTCTTTATACCTCTCCCTGTAATCTCACTCTGGATCTCCATTCCGCTACCAATTTTCCCGCGTGGCCGAACTACAAGCAGTTATCTTTTTAGATGTTATCCTACTATCTACTTTTATATAAGGTCGGGTGGAAAGAAAAGAGCGCACGATGTCATTTTGTTTTCTCATTCATCTATTGAGGAAAACATCCTTTTGCAACTTGAGTATTTTTTTTTTCTTTCTTGCACGGAGAGTATTTCTCAGATTAGCTCCTCCTAATGATTTCAAAGTACAGATAAGTGCTTTCAATTGCTGAAGATTAAAGGATTTCTCTGCATTTACATCCACTCATTGATCAAATTAGGGCTTCTCTGTGCTGTTTGCAGCGGGGCGATAGATGAAGCTCTGATAGTTCTAAACACATCACATCAAACGAGCTTCTTATCGTCTGATGATATGCTGCGTAAAGATAAGACGCCGCGATGAGCGTCCCGCGAGGGATAAAAAAAATAAAAAAAGATGTGGAAAGCATTTTGGCAAACACAACAAATGCGCGACACACAAATAAAACACACATAATCCATGCATCCGCTTTAGTAATGGGTGGAGGCTGCTAATTCTGCAGCGACATATATACATAGTGTGTCACAGTCTCACTTCAGAGGTACAAGCGTGCAGCAGCTCCTATGAAAGAGAAATATACGAGCTGAGCGCCACTATCAAATGATGCTCTCATTCACGTTTCACAGTCATTCATCTTCCGGAGTAGAATGGGGGGGGCAGGAGTGTGTTGCTCTCTGTGTGTGTGTTTGGTGACAACTCATGACTCATTTCACCCTTCAAATGGCCCTGTGGCGCCCGTTCAGTCGATAAACAAAGACCAGCAAAGCCTCTTTGCTCTCTCTTCCTCGAGTTCTCATTTGAGAAAGTGTCTTGTTTTCACACACACACACACACACACACACAGAGACACACACACACAGACACACTCTCTCCTCGATTACTCTCTCAGTTGCCTAAGAAGTAGAACAAACTCCAAACTTCAAACTAAGTTCACAAGAATGGCTCTTCTCCCGTTACAGAAGTTGTGCTCCATCTCTGTTTAACCTTTCAAACATGGTCTTGGCTTTAATCCCCAGTGAAAAAGAGGATTTGGGGATTATTTAATCGTGACCCAAATATAGTATCCCGTTTTTTCCCCTGCACTGCTGGTTAAAAGGACAGATCCCCCCTGCTGTCGGAGTGGGTTTTGAGGTTGCAGCGCAGAAAGGGACGGAACTAAATGGGGCATAACAGCGCAGAAGAGTGACGGCCGCTTCTGCGCCGCTAATTCCCTCGGGTTGTCGTACTCAGACCACAGACGTCTCTTCTTGGATCCGAGCTGCGGGAATAATGCTTTCCAACTCAAATCATTCCCCACACCTGTGTGCTGTTTCTGCTGTTTAGCATGCGGTGTGAAATGATCACATCTTTCCCTGTCTTGTTATACAAGAAGCTCTCCCATTAGAGAACCACTCTGTGTGTGTGTGTGCGTGTGTGTGTGTGTGTGTGTGTGTGTGTGTTTTAACACTTAATGTCCGGCTCTTTATATAAACCTGTTTGCTTTCCTTGTGTGTGCTTGCAGTGTTATTACTTCGCCTCACTTAACTCCAGCTGCGTGGCATTATGTTATAATATTATATTATGTAGAAATACAATCACTATGCATTTTAAATAATGCCTCCATACAGGCCACGAATCTTTGAGAGCTGACCTTGATGGGAGGAGACTCCCCTTTATCCGTAACAAAGACTTTATTATAGATAAACGACAGATGTTACGGGGTCACCGTGTACGTCCCACTTCATAGCCTCCTTACGATATCCATGGCAACCGCAGTGACAATTGGGCCTTTAGAGAACAGAAGTGCTGCGAATGACTAAATTTTTCATTTTTTCAACATGATCAGTTTGGGCTGTGACGGGGAACTCAAATCCACTGCAGGAAACCTTGGAGTATCCATAGCAACATCACATCATCTTACTTGAGAATTGTTCAATTTTCACTCGCAAAAAAATGTGAACATGTTGCCGCTGGACGTTTCTCACATGGGCGATGATTCTCCGGAGTTACAGACTTGAAATCATATGAAGGGTAGGGATGAGATAATGGCAACGTGGTTGTGATGTTCAAAGCCCGCGGCGGCGAGAGGACAAAGCAGAGCGGGGAGGAACAGAAAACCTCTTGAGCTTTTGTCTGAGTCTCCAGGTTTAAATCATCCGCCGAGGAGCGGCCCTGCAACCGGGGCTTCCACGCATTTCACGGGGCAATAAACCAAAGGTCTTTTGTGGGGCCGTGTGTACTGAGACAAACTGTCCCAAAAGCCCCATCTTGCGGTGTCAGATAAATAAGTAACCAAAAGGCCTTAAAAGAGCACCCGGGGGCCAGAGGGTAATGGCTGTTTGCTCTACACGTGCACCACAATGCCTTTCACTCTCACTGCCAACGGGGCCCGACCCCCCCACCCCCCGAAGGGACGCTGAATCACAAAGGTTGACGACAATGGGCTTGTCATTCAACCCGGGTTTCCATGGCGACCCCACAGCCCCGCTGAGGCCACTGGGGGTCACTTTCATCACGGAATCCGCCTGGCTAGGACTAATTGCTGTGTTTGTGCCGGCGTTCTGTGTCAGCGGCTCGGGCAAATTCCCAACACAGTGCAAACATCAATCACGCTAATCATATGCTGCTTTTCGGGGAGGCGCTGGAATGTGTGGCCGGAATCCATTACCGCAGGCTCATCTGCAGGAGTGTAAGTGGTTATGTTGTTTAGGTTAATAATTATTTCCATTTTTGATTGATCCGTCAATGATTTTCTCAATTAAGCAATTAATTATTGTCTGTGAAGTGTCAGGAAATCCCCATCAGTTTCCCAACTGGATGTAATCAATTTTCTTGTTTGTTCCATTTAATAATCTCAATCCCAAATATTGCGAACAATAACATTAAAATAAACCAGCAAACAGAAACAGATAAACGATCATTTGTAGCAAATCTGTTTTTATTCTTCCTTCCTGCTTTATTGTGCAGATCCAGCTGCAATATAAAACAGGCTACTTCTGCCAAAAGACATCATGTCACATGGTTCCTTGATTCAGCATCTTCATCTCTCTCTCTCTCTCAGGCTCTCTTTCTTAGTATTTCTTGATCCAGCTTCTCATAAAAGGCCCGGCCGCTGTGAGTCCAAAGTAATTCTACCATGCGGCTGAGGGTCCCTTTTTTTCCCCACGGTAAGCACAGTGTGACAGGACCAATGAGCCCCGGCATCCTCGTGGGTCCGAAGCCAGAAGATCAGAGGAAGCTGACTGTGTTTATCACAACTGCAGCTGTCAAGTCCTGAAAGCCAGCACAACCAAAACGACCAGCGACCCGGCGTGCGAATCCCAACGGAGAGGAAGAGAGTGCGCTGGCTGCTTTGTACTCGGGACACAACGTCTGAGAAGGAATCGTACACGTTCTCTAGAAAGGTGGTCGCCCCGGGCTTCAAACAAACAAACAAACAACAGAGGTGGACAATTGTACCAGTTAATCACCATCAGGACCGGAGTTTAACGTTCATCTAAATTCACTGCGGGACCGGAAGGAGCCAACTGCAACCGCACATCTGATCTCCTTCACTAAACCAATCACGTGGTTTTTATCTACGACACAAGCCGTTGCGTGTCTATGTTGTGTCCTCTTCTTGAACCCGCCCGCGGAAAATATTACTTTGGATGCTGTGTCGGGATGGCTTTTGTGGCTGAGATGTTCCCGATTATATTTGGATTGTAAGAAATATAGTTGTGAAAAAAACCTCTCGGGAAATGATTTGGAAAGTTTTAAGGACTCGGCTCTGGCAATTGAGCGTTTGAGGTTTGTGAATGGAAGGTCCTTCAAGCTCAACAAAGGGTTGTGCAGAATGAAAGAAAGTCGGCTAATCCATTCACCTTCATTAAACGTGAAATGCAAGCAAGTATAAAAAACGGTAGACAATCAGCAAGTCTTGTAAAGGGCACAAACACTGTTTATCCCCCAAAACAGTGACGTCACGAAGGCCCAACTTAACCTTCACTTTGAAGGTCACGCGAGGAGACAAGTGATTTGCAGCCACTGACGAAACGCTTGTTGTATTCCGAAGTGTTTTCACAAGCAGCATTATATTCAGAAACATTTCCCAACTTCGATCGGAACTTTCGAGGCCCGGAAGTTTTTCAGGAGACGATATTTAGGTGGCCACATTTCCAAAGCTTGGAAACACTTTTTGGAACAAACAATTATGATAGCAGGGCGTGATCGGGCGTGAAAATGGATATTGAAAGGGAAATGAATGGGCAGGCACCCTGGTGGTGGGTTGCACTCTGCCAGCACCACCAAGTGGTCAGACGTAGCAAAGCGACACGCAAAACTTCTCCAAAGTGATTATTTATATTGCACAGGTCAGAGTTTGTGGATTACTTTCATGTAAGATGGGACACTCTGGCATATTCCCATTCTGTCGCATGCATGAACTCATTTTAACTGTGAAACGAGAGCATACGAGTCATAGGTTTATCTTCAGGGGGAAAAAACAAACACCTCGCTGTTAAAAAAACGGAATGTCTGCCGAACCCAGAGGTTATATCCTAATAATAATAATAATAATAATAATAACCACATGGCATAATAAAATACGCGTATTCTTACCAAGTAAGGTGCCCAACTCCCGCTCATCTAGCGGGGAGCGAAGCTGCGTGTCTCGTCCGGGGCAGAAGAGAGTGGCACGGAGCAACCAAAAAACCAAGAAGAGCTGAAGAAGATTTATATCCTCGGCTCTGCTGTGTCTCTTCCTCTCTCAGGAATTGACCTCGGTTAGAATAAACAACAAAAAAACTCCTCCTCCTCTCTCTCTCTCTCCCTCTCTCTCTCTCTCTCTCTCTCTCTCTCTCTCTCTCTCTCTCTCTCTCTCTCTCTCTCTCTCTCCCTCTGCGGAGATTCCTCTCTCGCCCCCCCCGGAACCCTGTGAGCTATTTGTGCTCCACGAGAGAAGCGCTCCACGCCGGCGGGCTGCTGCGCGCACGGGTTGTAATCGGACACCGAGACTGTGGCGCTGCGCCACGGACACTGTGCCTCCAAAAAACAACAAGAACAACAAAAAAAAAAAACTAAAAGCATAAAAAAAACCTGTCCTTTCAACTAAAAACGGTCCAAAGGCCGAGCGGAGCTTGCGGTGGTTTCGACGTGTCCGAGGCTCGCTCCCGGTCTCAGCTGCGCATCGCACGAGCGCGGGTTTTGATAGCCGAGGAGTGCGCCCCCACTTTGCGCGTCGGGGAAGAGACGTGGCAGCGGCGCACAGCTGTCCTGCAGGTGGAGGAGAGGAGTGCAGCGCGCTCACAGCGGGAGGGCTGGCATTTGGACACGTTGAGCCATTTTGACCTCTTTACCTCCAATATGCGTTTGAAGCGCCTACAGAGCATTTGCATGTTAATCTGGGAGTCTTTGAAACGTGTGGCCCTGCTTGTAGACAGATGTGTTGACACCCCCCTCCCTCCCCTCTGTGAATCCTGGAAAACTGCACACTCTGTGACAGATAAGGATTCGGTTTCAAGGATGCTTAGCGAAAGAGAGGCTTGAACCCTGGCATGCATATCTGTCACGGCTGTCCAGTGGTGCCGATGAAGGCTTTTGTAATTGCTTTGACAGAAAAAAACAGAAGCACTTGTGTGTGTGTGTGTGTGTGTGTGTGTGTGTGTGTGTGTGTGTGTGTGTGTGTGTGTGTGTGTGTGTGTTTGAAGAGGGGAGTGGTTGGAATGTGTTTATTTGCCTTTGTGTATTTTATTTGCAACATCCCTAATTCCATTCCTTATTTATCCTCTGGTGAATGACGGCAGCGTCTGTCAAGCACCGGAAGCCCCAGAGTGCCGTGCAGAGCTTTAGGGCTGTGGCAAGCGAGTGTGTGTCTGTCTCTTTGACAGACACAAAGTGGAGTCAACAATTGATCTGCCTCTTCGTTCCAAAGGAACGTGCTTTCTGGGAAGGCCTTGGATCCACATCTGTATTTAAATCGAGTCGTCGCGACACCCAAAGGGGCGCACGTGTGAAATGCGTGGGAAACCTTTTCTTTTCTGTCGCTGCGAGGGGAGCTTTCTTAAATAATAGGAACAGATTTGCTGATGGTATGGCACGCCGATGGCTGCGACGGCACCCGCACAACAACAAAACTAAAGTTTCAAATGCTATAACTTTAAAATCATCAAACGCAGTTTCATCCATGGGACCACCAGAACGTCTTTCTTCTCGCTTCAGGGATCGGAGAGTCTTTGCCTCCTGCTTGTTTTGCTTTGCCGTAGAATAGATGTTATTGAGCTGAACTTGGCTTTAGTTCTGAGCTGCGGCGAGAGATCAACTTTCATCAGTCAAAATAATGCGGCGTCTCTGAATTGCCCGTCAGACTGAGTGACGGATGGTTTGAAGTCCATCAGTTCACGACGGGAGGCCTGAGAAAGAACGAATCAAACCAACACTGTTCTTTCAAGTCTCCTCTGGGGCGTGTGTGTGTGTGTGTGTGTGTGTGTGTGTGCGTGTGCGTGTGACCATCATTGTTGCTCGGGATTCTTGTCTTGATGTCAAGCAAACAAACTGAAGTTGCCAGGCAACCACACAAAAAAGGTTAGTCTCAGAAGAAGCCTCCTATATTTCACCTGGTTGTATACGATCTCAGTGGGGTGTGTGGCTTTGCATAGTTTTTTGATCTCTCAGCGTTTTTTATATTCTTTGTAGTCTGCTAAGTGACCAAATCATATTTTCAAAGCAATGTCACACTGAAAGAAGCTGAAGGCCAACTCTTACGTCACAGAGGAAAAGCCACAACGGACGTGACACTATTACGAAAATATATTCCCCGAAAATATATTACTGCTGCTTTCGGCTCTTGTACCTGTGATGGCATCTGTGGACATCCTATCTACAATGATAGAAGGAGGGGAGCCGCTTACAGCAGCCCAAACTCTTTCAATGTTGCCAAACCTTTTGGTTGGAAGCAGCCGAGCTCCCAGAATGCCTCCCTCAAAACACGACATCTGTTTTGCAGTTTATTTGCCGTTACCCAGCACAAGGTCAGCTCATACCTCGCTAAGAGAAACCAGCCAACCAGCCAGCCACTGGTACACGCGAAACCCGCCCACTGACACCTCAACGGCAAACTTCCCCATGTGGGGGGGGCCGAGACGTTGGCGCGACTCGATGCTTCGGACATATGCACGCTGGTGCAATAATGCCAACGAGTGACTCGGAAAGGTGAGAGAAGGGGAGCGAATGAAGGACCATGAGAAGATAGCAAGGGTGTGTGTGTGTGTGTGAGAGAGAGAGAGGGATAGAGCGCTAAACCGGCCAGCTGTGAGAGACTGCAGTCATTCCTCACTCTGAGCTTCATACCTGCAGACTCAATGAGCCGTCCCACGATGCGATTTCTCAGGCTTACTCAGCCTTACTGGGGCCCAGCAGCAGCAGCATCCAGGGCCTTGTAGAGCCACGACTCCACAAAGTCTACTTTCATTGCCACGCTCCGCAGGAGGAAGGATTAGGCAACGATGCCATAACTGTCATGGTGTCAGAGGAAGTATGTCTGCCACAGCAGGGACGGCAGTTTTGGAAGGTGACGGGCTCAGCACGAGTTTTATTAGATCTGAGAGGATACATTGACCCCCCTCACTTTTTCTTAGTTGTGTTAATCTAAGGATGCAAGTCTGAGGGGTTGTCCACCACTTTGGTCCACAATGAAATACTTGTTTGAACTATTTGTTTGATTTGAGACACTCGTGGTGCCCAGAGGGTGAACCTTGATGATTCACTGCTACACCAGGGTATTCAAGTTTTCACCGATGGAAACTTGTGAAATATCTCAAAATGTCGTCCCAAAACACCCCTTCAAGGTTAAACAATGATGAATCCTGAAAGCTGATCCCTCAGTGCAGCCAGAAGACTGAGAAAATTAAAAATTATCTTCAAAAACCTACTGGTTGGCAGCAAATGTTAATGCTACGTTCCCAAACTAAAAAATAAGTCTCATTGATACATTTGACATTTGTCTAGCTTGTATAACCCTTGTAGAAGTGCACAATACCACATGTTAACCTTTTGAAACAATTGGGCTTGATTAGGCTGCTTGGTTCAGGCTAGAAAAAAGAAATTCATAGTTCAAATAATAATATCCAGCGTAACTTGCACAAATAAATCACAACCTTCTCAGCAATAAACCAACACAACATTCATAACTTAGCTTTGAGTTTTGATTCCAAATGAGAAACGAACAGCGGTTTGTGTGTGAAAGTTGTTTGTTTCCCATCCATCCTTACAGGATTTTCTCGCTACCGTACTCGTTTTTTTTCTACCTGCAAGCAAACTTTGACAATAAAAGTATCCGAGGTGTCAAAATCCTTTCCTGGCGCCCAAGCTGCGTTCAACCATTGAATGAATAACCAACGATATCTGGGGAATACGTTGCGGTTTGAGTCCATATTTGTATCCAACGGCTCTACGTTCAATTTTCATCCGGTACCACCATCAGCTAAAAACATCTCAGCCTCTCATGCTAGCATGTGTTGTACCAAAACAATTTGTCCAGCTGGGGCCTTTACTGGAGCCACTAGAGGCGATAGCATGGCGGTGGACTATTTAGCTTTAAAAAAAAAAAAAAAAGAAGGTTAAACCAGTTCAGATTGTGCTGTGAAAAAAGAATAGTTCACTGAGTGAGGTCTATATTCCCTGGTCTTACTAGTAACATAGTTACAAAAGTTTACACCATCTTCATTCCCGTGCGTCACAGGTCGCGGCAGCCCGCCACGCCGCCGTGTAGCGGGGTGATCGAGTGTCGGAGGGCCCGGTCCGTCCAGCGGTAGTGAACGAGTGGGCTGCGCGAGACAATGAAATGCAGCGCCGCAGTCCAGTGGGGTCATCTGGCTCGCTTTCTGCCCAGATTCTGGCTGGCTGTATTTGTCTTTGTCCTCCCCTCCATCGCTCATGATGGATAGCAAAAAGAATATGGCTGACGGCGAGAGGTTTCTTTTTCTTCCGCTCTTCTTCTTTTTTAGTGTCTCCTTTCCATTTTTTTTTTTCGGATCACTATTAGCAAAGTGGCAAAGTTAAGGGCCCGAGATATGAACTCTGTGAAATTCAATCATGGGAATTGAAGGTTTGGAGGCGTGAGGTCTCGGCCCCATGGGCAGTTTGGAGATTGCCTGAGATTAATTAATGTCAAAATGAAGAGGATGAGGCTGTAGAGGACAATTATGTATGTGACTGCGGGGCATGGCGCTCGCCAATCACAGCAAAGAGTGCAGTCTGCTGATTTTCCTCCGTGTTAAGAATTTATTTTATTTCCAGTCAGTAAATTTGAGAAGCCAAAAGCAATTTAAGGGGGGATAAAGTAGGCAAAAGCTACCCATTGCTAAATGGCTAGAAAAATAAAGCCACTTATGTAAGTACTCAAGGCGCATATAATCCGGAGAAGCCACAGCGGGTAAAACTACCATCATCTCCTGTGCATTGTAATCTTCTGGAGGCAGACCCAAAGTTTGAAAGGAACTACCACTCAATTAAACAATTCATGTTTAATTCATACAGCTCAACATTGTCCAACATATGAACCATCACACTGTGTGTTATTTTTGGGGAAAAAAGGATACTTTCAGCTAAAATAAAAGCCCCATCTGCAGAAAATCATCCTGCAGTCACAGCCGCGCTCCTACTTCCACTTCATAGTCAGTGGAGATTTACATCCCAGATTAAGCTAGACAAACAAACTGTTTGCTTCTTTTCGGGGCCGCAGGGGGCCCGAAGTGACTGTTTACCAGCATTGGCCCGGCTGTCTCAGAAAACAGCTTCAAAACCCTAATTCCAAACGG